CCAAGGTTGAGAACCACTGGTCTAAGTTCTTGGGGCAGTGTACCAAGAATTCAGCTTTCAAATCTGTGGAGTTTTCACCACAAAGAAACTCAGATAGAAACACTCCAAAGAACTGCAGAATTACAGAGGTACAGGCAGCCTTCCGTGCGAATGTTGGCAGCCCAGAGGGCTCTGCTCAACGACACGGCTGCAGCCGTGGCCTGCCGAGGGCTGTGGGCAGGCGGAAGTCAGCTACCAACAGCAGCAGAGAAAGAAAACTGCCGCGGGCAGCAGGAACGACAGCAAGCAGACAGGAAAGAGTCCAGGAGGGGCCTGCAGGTGGCAGAGAGCAAGGCCAAGGACTTGCAGCAAGGTCAGAAAAATCCCCATAACAGATAATTCCTCTGAGATTTTGGCAACATTTTCTAAGAGAGACAGACCTGGCTCCAAGGGTTCACAAGCCTGAACTCTCCTTGGCTGTCAATTCGTGCCTCTTCAGAAAGAACTGAAGGTCATCACCACACTTATATCAGGATAGCATGTTTGTACTTAGGTATTTTATGTTTAACTAAACTAGTTCCTAAATTCTGCTCATTTGCATATTGGTGGAGCTGTGACTCAAGCACCCACTTGTTGTTTCTATAATAAAGACATGTGAAGAGCATTTCCTGTAACCGAAGTACCTTAATCCAGGTGTTCCTGTAGGCTGTGTGCTAATCGGGCTGCTCTTAGGCAAGGGCAAGCTGCCCCAGCTGGGGTTCCCGCTCTCACTAACGGGTGCAGAGAAAATCAGATGCGATTGTTTCTCTGAAAGGGGCTTTAATGATGACCTTCGAAAGAGGACAAGGATGCATTTGCATCTTCAACCTAAATAGCACAAAGATTGGCTTGTACGCGTACTCTGAGAGATGGAAGTAATTAAGGATAGTGGTTCTACAAATTAATCTCTTCTTCTGAATTATAAAGTCTTTCTAAATGTAATTTTAGAAAAGGTACCACATACATTTTGTTTGTACTTTTGTATATTCATATTGATTGACTGTAAGGATGAATACTGAAATTAAAATTCCAGTGCGATCGAATGAAGCATTGTGGAGCTCTAACTCTTTACTGGGTTTCTTTTCTGGGCGCCAGGACAGGAGTCTCTCCATGTGTTTCTGCCAGTTTCACCAGCCCCTCCTCCTTAGTTGCCTTTGCTGGATCTCCCTCCCCTCCCTTAACTTCTAACCAAGGACCTTTTCTCATCTGTTTCTATACTCATTCTCGTTGTCATCTCATCGGTTGCATGGCTTTAATTGCCAGCTATATGCTGTCAATTTACAATTTTACTTCTCCAGCCCAAACTTCTTGCCTAAACTCTAGACCAGTGATGGCGAACCTTTTGAGCTCAGCGTGTCAGCATTTTGAAAAACCCTAACTTAACTCTGGTGCCGGGTCACATATAGAAATTTTTTTGATATTTGCAACCATAGTAAAACAAAGATTTATATTTTTGATATTTATTTTATATATTTAAATGCCATTTAACAAAGAAAAATTAACCAAAAAAATGTCATAGGTTCGCCATCACTGCTCTAGACTCATAAATCCATCTGCTTGCTTAGCCTCCATTTGATGTCTACAGCCCCAAATCCTCACCTAATTTTCTCTCTCCCAACTAATTACAACTCCATCCTTCCAGATGTTTGGGCTAAAAACCTGGATATCATTCGTAAGTCCTGTCTTTTTCTCAACATTCACATTGCATTGTCAACAAATTTCTTTAGTTTGCCTTCAGATGTACCTAGACTTAGGCTACACACCACCTCCACTGCCCTCACCCTGGCCTGCTGCATTTGCCCTCGTATTCTCCTCCCTGCCTCTGCCCTTCATCCCAAAAGGCTCTTCCTAACCTAGCAGGCAGTGTGGTCCTGTTAAAACCTAAGTCCTGCCGAAACCGGTTTGGCTCAGTGGATAGAGCGTTGGCCTGCAGACTGAAACGTTCCAGGTTCGATTCCGGTACCTGGGTTGCAGGCACATCCCCAGTGGGAGATGTGCAGGAGGCAGCTGATCGATGTTTCTCTCTCATCGATGTTTCTAACTCTCTATCTCTCTCCCTTCCTCTCTGTAAAAAAATCAATAAAATATATATAAAAAAATCACACAAAAAACCCTAAGTCCTACCTAGCCACTTCTCTCTTCAAAGCCCTCCAATGACTTACCATGTTGCTCAGAGTGAAAGTCACACTCCTCCCAGTGACCACACCCCCTGCACCTGCCATCTCCGCCACTCTCCACTGCTGTCCCTCCCCTCCGGCCTCACTGGCCTCCTAGTTCCTCCCACACCCCTGCATGCTCCTGCCACGTGCCTTAAATTTGCGTTTCCCAGACTGCTCTTTACCTTATGTCCACATGGCATTCTCTAAAATGGCACATTCCCCGTGCATCCTTCCCTGACCATAACACTTAAAATGATGGTTTCCTCCCTATTTTGGCCATCCTTGTTCCTTTCCCTGCCTTGTTTTAGCCATAGCACTCTTCAGCATCTGATGTGTCACTGAGTTATTAGACATTAGTCTTTGTTGTTCGTCTCTCTCACTAGGTTCCATAAGTGGAGATTTTATCTGTGGTGTCCACCGCTATATACTCAGGGCTTGAGCACTCAAGCCACTTGCTGATGCACAGAAGAAACTCCTTTGTCTAGGAAGAAAATGATCGAGATAAATCTTATCAGTCAAAATCTGATTTAAAAACCAGCCTTGTAATTGTGCCATGCACTCAGTAGACACACTATAAAACACATTTGAATCAATGACATATTTTATGGATATTTTTTTCTGGAAAAAAGATAGTCCCTGTGTGAAACGCAAAACTGTAAGTTCTAAAAAAAGTTGCTCCAACATTTTCTTGGACATCAAAACCATTATTTTAGATGGTGCTATTATGCTATAGATCTTAGGATTTCATAGTCAACTTAATAAAGAATACTTTATTCACTTTGCAGCTTTACTCTCATCCATCGAAAAATTTTTAAAAAATTAAATCTAAAAGATGGCTATGAAAATAATTAAAAATCAGAAAGAATAGTTATACTGACTAGTGCTCATGAAAGTTACGTTTTACTTCAATAAGTTTTCTTGGTGCTGGTCCAAGGTTGGTGTTTCTATTGGAATAATTTCACCGAAAATAAAAATACATGCTGCACCCGTTTGGTTTCTTAATATTATTCTCCACTAAAAGGGACAAGAACTTGCTGGAGAAATGGCTAATATCAGACCTGAGTCAAGGAAAATGCAACTGGTGCCTCAGCATCCTGTTGTGCCCGAAAGTGAGAAAATTCTCAAGAGCTAATAGGTTTACTCCAAAGGGACAAAAAAAGGGGGTGCAATAGAGAGGCCTCTTCCTGGCCAAATTTGGGATAATTTGAGTATCAAAAAAATAATGACAGATCCATTTATAACACATTGAATTGAACAAAATCCACAATACAACGACTCACCCCAACCAAAAAGAGAAAAAGAGATAAAGGCAGAAATGTGTGTGAGGATGTAAAGCTCGTCTTAAAGAAGAATGCTAGCTAATAAACGTAGGAGGAACAATGGAGTGAGAAAAACCATCATTTTGTAGCCCATGCTAAAATCATTGGGTAAAAAATGGCCGGGTTATAGGGTATTCACACAGTGCCAGATTATCTATCACCCCAGAGATTACTTGCTACTTACAAAGCGAGGACTTTAGCTTTTCAATGGCGTGAGATGGCAGTTACCACTTGAACCAAGTGATGCAACTCGAAATTACTAATAGTGGAACACCCTCACATTACATCTCCTTGATGCGGTGCAATGGAGAGCTTCCATTACTCGGAAGTGTTTTTGCCATACAATTGTATCTAATCAAGTCACTTGACCTCACTTCCACTTTACAAGAAAAATGCAGCCTAGAGGAGCAAGTGAAACCCCGTGGTGAACCACACAGGCAGATCTAGAACATTGGATATTCTACAAGATAACAGCCTGGACTAAAAAACACCCAAAAAACACACAAACCTACTGTCTTGAGAAAAAAGAAAAGTAAGGTGAATATTCTAGATGTAATAACTACAGAGATATAACAAGTAATATAATGTATAAAATTAATTTGATATTGGTTAAGGAAAAATTCTATAAAAGATATTTTAGAAACATTTAAATATGGGATGGATGTTAAGTCTTTTTATGAAACGTATTTAATTTTTTTTAGCCTTTTTTGTTTTGATATGGTATTGTGGTCATTAGGAGAATATTTTTATTCTTAGGAAATGATGCTGAGGTACAAGACTTAAGTGGCATGATATTTACAATTCATTTATAAATGATTCAGGAGCAAAGGCAAATAAGGGTGCTTTATACACACACACACACACACACACACACACACACACACACACATACATATATATATACACATACACATACATATATATGTATATATACATATATACACATATATACACATATATATATACACTTAGAGAGCATGCCCAAATGTGGCAAAATACTAAAAATTATTGAATCTTGGTAAAGAGCATATAGGTATCTATTAAGCTATTCTTTCAATTTTCTGTATTATTGAAATTTTTCAAAATAGAAAGTTGGAAAAAACAAAAATGCATGCAAATTAACTTTAAAAATGCACCACTATTCCACTCATTATTTTTGAAATATGTTATTTGTGTCATGTCTTGATAAATTAAATTGTAATAGAAAATAGCAGCCACTACCCAGATGAAGAAAGTGGAACTTTCTGTCACGTCCTAGCTACATAACCCACTGGCTGGTGACCTTGGGCAACTTGCTTTTGATCCTTAAGGCTTGGTTTCCTCATTTGCATGATGGGAATAACATCCTGCCCACTCACAAGACGTTGTGAGATAATCCATATTATAAACAATTGTAAGGCATGCATTCAACCTAAAGGACTCTATAGCTTTTTCTTCTCCTGCAGCGTGAAAGTAACTTTATAAAAGAAGAGACTTGCACCCTAGGCATTCATGAAGAACTTACCGTTCAGACCACAGAGTCTACACATGGCCGCCAACACTGTAGATTCCATCTCGATATTCCTGACAGCAGCTATATGTGCTCTCTTCAAATGGTCTACCTTTTTCTCTCTGGAAAGCTGCAAAGGGTTCCATCTAGTCGACCCTGGCCTGAAAGAGACAGAGAGCAGTGAGCAACCTGATGAGGACAGTGGCAGCGGCGCCACCAAGAGGCTTGCTGTCAGCTGAGTGCTCCGCAGCTGACTCTGACTCCTGGGCCTGTGCCCCAGGTAGGATAAACCCGCTGACCAAGTCTTCCTATCACTGGACCGGCAGCAAGGCTGTGCCCAACTCCAGTGTCTCCTGTGTAGAGAGTGGTCTCCACGGTGCTGAGTGCCCTAGCTCCAGGGCAGGTGGCCACGGCAACCAGCACTGTGCCCAGGGATAATGGAATTAGAAAATCATCATTTTGTAACCCAGGCTAAAATCACTGGGTAAAAGAGAGTTGGGTTACAAGATATTCACATAGTGCCAAATTGTCACTCCAGAGATTACTTGCTACTTTCAAAGAGGAAACGTTGAACCTGAGGGTCACTGAGAGATCTGCCCTTTGAGGAAAATCTCTGGTTGGCTCCCAGGACTGGGGGATGGCCCGGGGCCAGGAGCTGGGGGAGAAGAGACGTCGAACCTTAGTGATGCTCTGAGCTCCTTGAGGAGCAGGGCCATGGTTTGGACACTGCAGCTCTGCATCTACCCATCGTGACAATGGTACCAATGTGTCCACCTTCTTCTCCCCACACAGCTCTAAGCTGCCTGCACCCTTTGGTGATCACCTTTTCCCTTCTGTGATGCTCTCGGTGTTCATTTATCACTTAATCTCTCTTGTATCAATTAGTGGGGCTGGAAGGAGGTGGAAAAAATCTACCACTCTAACTCCTCCTCCACCCTGCAGGCTCTGGGAACAGACTTCTCCCCACCACACGCCCAAGGATGGCCTGGGTTGGAGCAGGGAGGCCAACAGCACTCTGTCACCATCATTATTTGCACAGTCCTCTGTTTGGCTTCCTTTCCTCGCTTTTAATCTTTCAGGCTACTTCCCCCCTGGCTGTCTGCTTCTCCTTGTCCCTTCCTCCTTAAGGCTGCCTGCCAACCCCTCTAATATAGTGTTCTTTAAGCAATTCCAACTCAGATGTCCCGGAAGCCAAGCAGGTGATGTCAGTGAGGTCTGCAGGACCTGAAGGGAGCCGCCGCCCTGCCCTTCATTGAATGCCAGCTGAGTGCTCCTTGGTGTCGGCTGGGCTTGCCAGGCTGCCATGCATTATTTAAAATTTTTTAATGCTATGGTATTTCAAGGAGCCCAAACTATGGATTTTCATGTGAAATTTCAAGAAATTATAAATGTTGGCAAAATAATTCACATTTTAAAAATTCTGTGCAGACCAAAGAAAATAGGGGCTCCAACGGGCTGTCATTTGTAAGATCTGCCTTATACCCACCCTTGACCCTCACAACAAAGCAGCCAAATCTATGACAGAGTGTTTCCACCTTATCACACCCAGCATGCCTCCTGTTTTATAATAATGGGTTATAAAATAAAATGTTACTAACCTGAAGTAACATTTACAGGTACTATAGCCTATATCCATATATAATTTTAAAATCCTATCTAATAAAAGAGAAACATGGTAATAAGCCATACGTCCGCTACCCTTCCCATTGGCTAATCAGGGTGATATGCAAATTAACTGCCAGCCAAGATGGCGGCCGGCAGCCAGGCACCTTTTGTTTAGCTTCAGTGATGGAGGACTCCAACGTTCCCTGCCTGCCGCTGCCGGCCTCTGAGCTTGCAGTTTGAAACATTGTTACAAATATAGAAGCTAAACAAAACCCCAGAAACCTGCTTTCAGCAGCCGAGGCCTCAGAGCTGGAGCCAGAGCTAAAGCTGGCCCAGAATAAAAAAAAAGAAAAAAGGAGCAGTTGGGAGCTTCAGTCACCTGCCAGCCTGAAAACATCCCTTAGCCTCTCACCCAGACTGGGCAGGCACCCCAGTGGGGACCCCCACCCTGAAGGGTGTGTGACCAGCTGCAAACAGCCATCATCCCCTCACCCAGGCTGGCCAGGCACCCCAGTGGGGACCCCCACCCTGACCCAGGACACCCTTCAGGGCAAACCAGCCAGCCCCCACCTGTGCACCAGGCCTCTATCCTATATAGTAAAAGGGTAATATGCCTCCCAGCACCAGGATCAGCAGAGCCTCGAGGCCTCCCGGCACCGGGATCAGTGTGACAGGGGGCAGCACCCAAACCCCCTGATCGGCCCTGCTGTGTGTGTGACAGGGGGCGGCGCCCCCCCCCCCCCCACAGGCCCTGCTCTGTGTGTGATGGGGTAGAGCCATAACCTCCCCATCAGCCCTGAGTGTGAGAGTGGCGGCGCCCCAACCCCCGGATATGCCCTGCTCTGTGGGTGATAGAGGGCGGTGCCCCAACCCCCTGATTGGCCCTGCTCTGTGCGTGACAGGGTACGGAGCCCCAACCCCCCTGATGGGCCCTACCCTGAGCATGACTGAGGGTGGCATCGCAACCTCCCGATCCGCCCTACTCTGTGCATGACAGGGAGCGGTGCCCCAACTCCCCGATTGGCCCTGCTCTGAGCCCGACCAGGGGCTGCACCTAGGGATTGGGCCTGCCCTCTGCCACCCGGGAGCAGGCCTAAGCCAGCAGGTCATTATCTCCCGAGGGGTCCCAGACTGCGAGAGGGCACAGGCCGGGCTGAGGGACCTCCCCTTCCCCCCCTTGCCCCCCGAGTGCACAAATTTTTGTGCACCAGGCCTCTAGTTGTAATATAATAGCCTAAGTTTGATCCAAAGAAAAATAATTTGAAATGAAATAATGTGTACTTGGTGAACATACTAAAACACAACCACACTACAATTTTTCTAGAATGCCCTCCAAGGAATGGTACCACCCCCGGTTAGATTCTTTCTTCTGGAACGAGCAGGGTCTGCCCTTGACACTTTATTCTCCTGGCTTTTCATCCCTTGTTATAAAAGCTACTTAGCAGTCACCTTCAATTCGTCCCTTAACTTGATTTGGGAACACTTTAATTGTCACTGAGAGAAAAATGGTTAACTTCGGTACCACCCATCCCTTTGGAATTCCTCCCCTAAATGTTTTCTGGGTCCCACTCTTTCCTGAGTACCAACCAGGTCACTTTGTGCTGTAGGTGATCGTACCCCAAAATGGCAGAAACACAGAATCAGCACACTCCCCTTCTCCCAGAGTCATCAATTGAAATGAAAGGCTTTAATAGAGAGAAGATTTTGCTAACATCATTAATTGCATTTTAGTATTCAATTTGTTCTTGGAGGATTTAACCCACTCTCAATACATAGTCACTATGGGTGTTTCTCTGCTGCTCGTTCTAGTCCTACGTTCCTCTGCTATAGGAAGTTAAAAAGGCTGTTTCAGTCCCTTTTTAAATCCCCAACTTTTAAATTTCTAAAGTGAAGGTTTTAATATAAATGATGGGTTTGAATAACAAAGAGTTGCTTTCGCAATTTATACATTCTTCTCACCTTCATAAAAATCATAGGTACACATCGTATGTCCAATGAGGGTTGGGAAGTTGGGAATTTCTCTGCTGCAGTTGAATAGTTCCTCCACCAGTTCCTTGTCAAGTTCAGTACTTCAGGTGACAACGTTGTCCAAGACAACCTGTTCAAATCTGGGCTTGAAGAAGGAGTCCACAGCTGTGTCTATTATTACAACAGACCCCGGTGCGACCCCCGGGATGCGGGAATAAATGAGTGGTTACTTTGACACAGAGTATGTAATCAATTCTGCCAACATTAATTAATGCTCATTGCTAATGGTTCTCCCTCTTTCCATCCTTGAAATTATTTTTTTTCCAAATGCAATTAAATAATAACATTCAGAACAGGCATTTGCATGTGCTGTCTTCCCGGATTCACATTTACAATGTGAAGGGGTTTAGATTTCAAGACAAACATGACTCTTGGACATGCAAATTAGAATTGGCCTTCAGGCTCAAATTTGAATAAATTAGGTCAGGAATAAACTAAATGAGCCTGCCAGCAAGTAGCTTGCCTAAAATGATGTGACTACTTGATATTTAATCTTCTCTGCATCTCCTTGATTACTGTAATTTCTTTGCATCTATATCACCCTTTCCTTCTGATTCTCCTCACATCATCCCCCTCCCCTCTCTGACCCCATGTAAATTGGGCCTCCTGGCTGACCTTCCAGGGCTACGAAGTCTGGCTTGCTCATGGGCCTTAGTAACTAAGTTACAGGGACTTGAGAAGCCATTTTCTGGACTGTTCTTCTCCCTGCTGAAATGCTCTTTTGTCCTCCCTACACCTTTTCATCAGACTAACACCAACTCATTCTTCAGGTATGGGCTTAAGTCACTTCCTTCCAAAGGTCTGAATTCAGGAGGGGGAACAGCGGGGATAAAAAGGCAACATAGGTTGGTGACAGTAAATTTCCCCAGGGCCAGCTTTTGACCTAGTCTTTGACCCATTCTGATTTCTGTTTAGAGCCAAAATAAGGGACTATACAATGGCAGTGCCCTAGACTCCTGTTCTAACATTCATCTCACTTTTTGTAATTACTCATTTGTTGCCTGTGGCCCTGATTAAACATAAGCTCTATAAAGTCAAGAGCATTGTTCACTGTTGTCTCCCCAGTTCTAGCGTTATGCCTATCGCATTATAGATACTCAATAAAAATGTATCAAATAAGCAAATGCTTCCATAGAGATGCCATAGGGCAGACATCTGCAAACTATAATCCATGGGCGAAATTCAGACCGTCTTTGTAAATAAAGTTTTCTTGGATCACAGCCACATTTGTTCATTACATGTTGTCTATGGTTGCTTCCATAATACAAAGCCTTAAGTACTTACTATCTGGCCTTCTGTTGAGCACAGCCATATAACTGGGTTTTTATAACTTTCAGTGTTGATCAACAGGGGGTTAATTTAGGAGATCCACCTAGGGACCCAAGATGGACTCTGATGAATGAGTTTTGGTGGGTCAGACACTTTTTACATAAGTCAAACAAGTGGCTCCTTGAATTATCTGAAATATCCTAGGAATAAGAAATGATTGAGAAGGAAGTTGAAAATGTGGGCATCAAAACGATGTCTTGCTAATATTTAGATGTGTTAAGACATGTGTATCCTAGTTAAAGTCTTTCAGAGGCCAAAAGAAAGGCATCCGGAAGGATAGCTCATCTGGCACTGATGCTCATATTCCCCTCTGTCGGGATGCATATCTACAGAAGTCCTTTCACTTTAGTCCCACCTTTGAGCGCCTAGGGTGGACTTTATTCCTGGACCACAGTTGTGGGAAGAGTCCAGTCTTTCTAATTATGTCTGTTTCTGGGGAAGCATGGCCCAGCCACCTGAAGCTCGGTGATACTGGACAAGTCATTCTCTAGTGTTTTGTTTGAGGATTTCTAAAGGTCCCTTCTTGCTCCAAAAATGTGTAGTTCTCAGACAAAAATCTCGGCCCTTTTTAGAATTTTCCTTCATTCTTGTCACTCTGTCAGCCAAACATTCCCATTACAATGCTCTGTCTGTATCTGCACATGGCGACATAGGAAAATGGCCCCTCTCATGATCTGCTCCTGAAGAAAAGCTTGAAAAAATAACTTGACCTCATCTCAAAGTGGAAGCATGAAGAAGGCCCTTCCCAGAGGCCTGACTAGCCAGGAGGCAGGGAGAGGGGAAGCTCTGGGAAGACTTGAAGAAGTTCTAGCTGGCCCTTCCCTAAAGGCCCAGGGTGGCCTGTTCTGGTGTGTTGATGAGGAAAAGAAGCAGCCAAGAAAAAGGATGCAGTCACCAGCATGAGCTAAAAACAATGTGTTCCTATGATGTGTGCTTACTTAGCTGACAAATAAGGCAATTAATAGTGATTATTTCTTGTTACTTGAAAGCACTTATTTCTGTCACTTACGAAATCTCTACACCTCAAAATTTACTGTAACCCTCAAAACTTTCTCTTATCCTGAAAACATATTCCTTAGCAATTCTTCCACTCTTCCCCATAAGAACACCTAAGTCCACTACAGTTTTCCATGGAGAGAAAAAAAAGGGAGATAAAAAGAAAATATTTCTGTAATTTCGTTAAATGCCCTCAAGCTGAGCTTCCTGACACTCCTTAGCCCATCTGGATTTCTGCTGGGTTTGGGGAATGTTGGTGTCTTTTGGCAGCTGCTTTTCAGGGAACAATCCCTGGGATTTAACAGTAGAAGTCAACCATCTCAACCTGTTCCCCCTGATGTACCCATTCTGATCATGGTGACATCACAGCGCTGGGCATGGTGCAGTAATTTGATGAGTTCATGCAGCATGATCGAAATGGAGGGGATCCCCATGCCATGCTGTTGAGAGAAAGGGAACGAACGTCACTCTACATCTCGCAAACTGATATATGCACAGGACATATTTTCTTTCTTCATTACAAGTTAACAGCCCTCAGAGAAATTTACATAATCAGTATGACTTTGCCAAAGCTGGGGAAACGTAAGTCAGCTCTAACTGACGCCTACATGACACGCTGATAGATGTGCCCATCTGTGAGGACCAGTGGGCGGCAGCTCCCTGCCAGGTAAGCTGAGTGCAGCCTGGTCGCCGGGAGCAGAAGGAGGGTGGCACGGTGTACTGGTGTGTCAGGGCAGTACCCCTGCTCGTCTCCCCTCTGGGCTCTTTACACTGAGCCTGCGAAATAGAGTTTTTTCCCAAGATTGACTTGATATCGAGGAAATACAAACTTGGCTGCCAGGGGATCAGTCCCTTTCCACCCCACTAAATGAAATGGTGAGTCCGCGGCATTGCTCTCAGTTGGCCTTGCTCGTTTGCTGCAAATTCTGTGCGAGCTCTGGAACATAGAGCAGACACGTGGGTTCCATCCAGATCCAGCAATGTAGAGTGGATAGTGAATGTGCAGCTGAGGGTAAATTGCGACAGGTCACAACCATAATCCCGGTTTTCCTCAGCATTTGGAACGGGACAGTCAATGTCACCAGAAGAGGGGCCAACAAGAGGATTTGGCAACTCCTGGTGATCAATATGTCCTACTAACTCTCCAGAACGATCCTTCATGTGGAATTTGCAGTGGCTGGAGCTGAGTTCGGAATCAGAGGCCATTTTATGCCTAGCCTAGCATCAGAGGGTCACGTGTGTTCTAGTTCTGCCCTTGGGCACAGAGACTTGGGTGCTGAAAGCACCAGGGTTATCTTGGCAGCAGGTGATGTCTGCCACTGATGGTCTCGTTAGCAAATCAGGAAAACCACTGCAGCCACTGGGGTGTCCTCACCTGAGTTCCCTCCCTCTCGTCATAAAGAATATTAAACGATGACAAATTTGAGCCTCTGAGGTTCCCATATTCGGTTTCCATGGAATATGCCCTGACTTCCAAAGGCATTGTAAGTCTCCTGGAGACACGAGTCAAACCTGAATTAATTTCTATGTCCAAGATGAACACGCGTGGGCTTTGGCACTGACTCTGCCACTAAAGAGCAAACTCTCTAAATCTCATTTGCTCAGCTGTACATTAAGCAACGAACCATTCTTTGATCTATTAGGTTCCTTCTAAATCAGATATGTGATAGGTTTATAATGATCACTTATTATGTGACATGGTAGCAAAATGACAAATGGGCTTGTGTGTTTCTGCTAAAGTCTCTCTCTCTGTCTCTGACACACACACACACAGACACACACACACACACACACACACACACACACACACACACACTCACCCCTCAGCTGCTGGAGAGAAAGACTTTTCAAAGGGGCCTAAATTGGAAATCCTCTGTATGCCTAGGGAGGCCCATTTCAAATTGCCTGACCTCTGGGCATGATCCATATTACTGCTGTTTTTATACCTTACTCTTAAGTTTTACTGCTTGTTTACAATAATTTCACAGTTTTAGAAACCTTATTTTTTGTCCTCACCCATTCATTGTGCAAGAAAAAAAATGACAGTTGTAGTCTAAATGTCAAACAAAAGTTAGTAAGACAACATTTGCCTAGATCAAACAATATTGAGTTTCCTTCCATTGTAGATATTCTATAGTTGTTGAATGAACAAATGAATTGATTCTCTCATTTGAGCCCAAAGCAAGTTTCAGGCATTCTTGACCCAGATGGGAGATGAACTTAGAGGCCCCCTGGGCATTGGGTAATTTTCCCTTCTTTACTCCAGGCTTTGGTCATCCATCCTTCCCTCGCCAGGTACTTAGAGTAATCAAGGATTGCTGGCTCTTCCCTGGTGCCGGAGTCACATATGATTCAGCTCCTTAGAATTGTCAGACTCTGCAGAGGACTCTTCCTTGTTCCCTAGCCTGGCTCTGCCCTCTATGAGGACTGCAGTGTCCAGCCGTGTGACAGACTTGAGCTATTGTTCCAGAATCCAGCCCTGTGGCAGAGACACACTTAGAAAGGCAAGCTCCATGCACACACATATCCATTGCCCTCTGGTGTGCCACCCTGAGTCCCAGAGGGAATGGTCCATGTGTTCCTTAAAACTGCAAGTTAATCCACTTCCATTTTGTCTTAGGACACTGTATGCCCGTAGCTGTCAGCATAGTCTAAATACAGGAGAGCAATTCACCGGAGCTCTGTGGAAACCCATGACCAGCTTTTCAGCCGGCTTATTGCAGTGTTAGACGGCAGCCTCAGGCAAGCCTGAAAATTGGCCCCTGTAAACTTAAAGCTCAAAATTCCCAAAGCTGGAGAAGGGACAGAGGAAAGGAAATTACTGGTGGCTTAATCGGTCACAAACTAAAGAAAGGAAGTGTGCTTTGAGGGTTTTTTCCCCTAATGTGAGTAGCTAAGTGGTAACTAATAAACTAACGTGACACAGAATGCTATGTTCTGCCCCTGGGACTTTTTCCAGCAAAGAATGTCACACCTGGAAACTTAATTTAATTGTGTGAGAAGGCGAAGCAATAGGGGAAAGAACCCCAGGCACAGAAGCTTCCTCTTTTTCTGTGAGCCCTGATGGCTGCCGGAGTGCAGGCCTGGAGTACTTACGCTGATGGAGAGCACGGGACCGATTTTGTACATACAGTATCTGTCCGTCCTGGCACAGATGTCCTTTATGTCCTCCCCGCTGTCCTGCAACCTGAGCTCCTTATGCACAAACAGTGCAAATGCTTTCATCCTGTTGGGGCTCCCACCAACGCAGACAAACTGCTGATAAAAAGTAGCAACCACCTGCCTTAATGACTGGGATCAGAACCAAGGGGCAGCTCTCAACGTTAATGATTTTACTTTATTTTTTAGTAACTTATCTAAGAGTATGTGTAGATGTTATGCGTTATGTTCGTGAGTTAACTAATTTGCATCGTTGACCTGTCATTAAGACACACAAGTTTTTGGGGCTTAATTAGTAAAGAAAAAGATCATCACGAAATCAAAGCAAGTGTTGCTTCTGTTCAAGTCGGTGTTTCCTGGTGTTTTAGTTCGCAGGGAACATGAGCGAGCTCCTCAGGTGACATCAGCAGCCTCCTGTTGGGCATTAGCAGGCCAAATGCTCGGTAAGTAAATACTGAGCATGGGGCATGCAAGTAACATAGCAAAAGGGGAACTATAAGGTATAGATATGTTTCTTCATCCCAAATCCCCACTCAGAAGTTTTTATTGTAAAATGTGCTATGTTCACGTAAAGCTTTACAAAAATAACCACATCAAAAATTTCTTCTCACTCAGAAGAAATTCTCCTGGAACAGGCCTTATTGTGGACTGGAAATCTCACTACAGTATTTCATCAGCTCCAGTAATTTGGTTTTGCTGTATTCACAATTTAACATCTCTGGAATTTCAACAGGCATGGCAGTCAAGAGTGTCACATCTAATAAAATATGGTTATAAAATTGTCTTAGAGGCACTTGTGTAATAGCCTATAAGGGATCCATGAGGGGTGGGAGTGGTGGATGTGGGAGAGGATCAGCATGGCCTCCCAGCAACACGGATGAGCTGCCAGCCTGGTGGGTACCAGGATGAGCAGCAGCAGGTGTCAGAGGCCCAAGGTAGCACAGCCATCAGGGCATCTAAGCTAAGTGGGGAGGTGCAGAGCCTGCAGAAGCTCAGTGACAGATAAGGCAGCACAGTGGTGAAGGGCCTGCCCTTGGAGATAAATCTGGCTTTGCACCCAAACCCATCACTGACTAAGCAGCCTGCTGAGTGTCACCCATGTCCTCTCTCTGTGCCTCCGATTGTCATCTCCAACGTAGAAAACACAGTGCCCTTTGGATGGTTTTGTAAGGAGAAAATAGGATCGACTATGGCAGAGGACGTTGTACAAAGCCAGGTGCCTTCTGAGCATTCGACAAATGGTAAGTACTACTTGTCATATCGTGTAGCAGTTTCCTGCCCTGCTCTTGAGCGGGCTTATTGTTTCTGTTTTGCAGAACTTAGTACAAAAGAAGCTGGTTCAAGTCCAGTGAGAAAAGGATTACTGGTGAGGGCACGCACAGGGAGAAAGAATATCTGTCTAAGGAAATACCGAACTGAGGTTGTAGAGTAGGCACCCCCATTCACAAATGACTTACTATGACTATTGGGTGGTCTGGTTACATGTTGTGTTCTGTTTCCATTTAGCAATATTCCAATTTCAACTATGGGATGTAATTATCCTTTTATCCGCCCTCTGCTTCCCTTCTATCCTCATTTTTGTCTTTTCTGTGGCTTCTGATGAGTTTCCCTGATGGGGCTTAAAGTTGGTAATGAACTGCAGTGGGAGTGAGCCATACAGGCTGGGTAGCAAAGAGAGTAAGACCATGGTCTAAAGTGAGTTTCTAAGATATTATTGATTACTTATAAAAAATTTTCCTTCTGTTGGTATGGACAATTAAGACTTAGCTCAAGTTCTAAGTACAAAGATGGTGTTTTTTTTGTTTTTTGTGTTTTTTCAAAATACAGTAGTTTGAAAATAACCTCATTGTGTAGTGCCAGTGAATGTAAATTACAACTATTCAGATTGACCATAAAACCAAAAACAGATGTTAGAATAGCTTACAGTTTGAATTCTTCTTTGAACTCTAGATATTGCTGTAATCAACAGGAATTTCTGAGTGCTTCTAGTGACATAAAGATGATAGGTATAGACAGAGCCTTTTCATTCTTGAAGCCTTACCCTTAAATCAGACTTACTAAATATCACCCCCAGCCACAATTTTAAGTCTGGCTGCCTTAATGAGAAGTAAAATACGGCTGAGGACCACCAACCAGCACTGACCTTAAGAGACGCTTACTGTGATTTACATCCAAACGAAATTATCGTTTGTCCTGGTTTCAACAAAGAAGATAAAAGTGCATTGGGAAGAAGTCTGAAGCATTACAAAAATGTGTTAAGTACTTTGCTATAGGCTGCCAGTATTAACTCACTTTCAAATATGCCTGCTATCTCAAAAGACTTACCTTTGCCATGTTGTTATTAACCTGGTCCTATTGCAGCTTGGGTATGATGTATGTTTACAAAGGAGTATAAACACTTCTAAACTGTGTATTATAGAGTGTTATAGGGTAATTCTTTTTCATGTTGCTTGAAATTTCTAGGGAGAGATTAGAGGTGATGATGGTAATTTTATAAAAGACATATTAGAGGTTGAGTTTGAGTAGATAAGGTCTAATGCTGCTCCACTATATTTTTTAAATTTTGATGCATCCCAGTCAGTATGACAAAGTCACCAAAGCTGCTTCTCCTTCTTGCTGGGAATGCAACTAAACTCTACTTCCCAGCCTCCTTTCCAATTAGAGAAGGCCATCTTCCTCAGTCCAGCCACTAGAATGTGAGCAAAAGTGATGGGTGCCGCTTCCAGTGCTAGCCCATCGAAAACTCCCATCGGTGATCCCACAGGTTGTCTTCTCCCGTCTGCTGGGTGGGTGTTGACACTCAGAGAAAATTTGCAAGTCACTGCGCAAAGGTGACAGAGCATCAAGATGGAAGGAGCCTGGGACCCTGAGTCATCAGTTGGAGGAAAGCCACATATCAACTGGGAACACCCATTTTTTTGTACTTGATATAAATAAGAAATAAACTTACATTGTGCTAAGCCACTGATATTTTGCAGTACCAGCTAGTGAAAACTTAAAGAATATAGCAAGAAAATAGAAATAATTGTCAAAATCTTTAAGGTTGAAGTTTTACACACCCACAGTTCTCCTTTCCTTGGAAGATAATGCTATTAATAATATGGATTAACTGTTAACTGATTAATAATGCGGATTAATTATTAACTGGTTAATAATATGGATTAACTGTTAACTGGCAAATAATGCAGATTAATTATTAACTGGTTAATAATCCGCATTACCAGTTAACAATTAAGCTGCATTATTAACCGGTTAACAGTTAATCCATATTATTAACTGGTTAATAGTTAATCTGCATTAATAATGTGGATTTTGTAATCAAAGAAAACACAATAATTTCAAGAGAAACATCAAAAGTACTTTATTCAAAGTAATGTCCATCGCTAGCTACACATTTCCTCCATCTTTCAGGTAATTTGTGGATACTGTCCCAATAGAACTTTTCTTGTTTTGAGGCAGACCATTCAGAGACCCAATTTTCTACTTCTTCGTATGTTTTGAAGTGCTGCTCAGAAAGTGGGTGTGCCATCAATTGGAACAAGTGATAATCTGAAGGAGCAAGGTCTGGTGAGTACAGTGGGTGGGTTAATACTTCCCAGGCAAGATCTTTTAACGTGTCTTTAACTGGTTTTCAAGTGTGTGATGGTGCGTCATCATGAAGCAAAATTACTTTGCGGTGTCTTCTGGCCCATTCTGGTCATTTTGCGATCAAAGTGTTGTTCAAATGGATTATATGTTGTTGGTAGCGATCAGTATTAACGGTTTCACCTGGTTTTAAAAGCTCATAATACACCACACCTTCCTGATCTCACCAAACGCAGAACATTGTCTTCTTTCCAAAGCGATTTGGCCTTGCAGTCAATGTTGATGGTTGACCTGGATCAACCCATGATTCTGTGCATTTGGGATTCTCAAAATAAATACACTTTTCATCGCCAGTCACAAGACTTTCTTTTGTGTCGTTGAAGCAACATTTTACTGATGACTTTTCGGTTTTCCATTTGTCTTTCGTTCAGATGGTGTGGCACCCATTTTCCTTCCTTTAAAACCTTTCCCATTACTTGTAAACGATCAGAAATTGTTTGCTGAGCACCGCTTAATCTTTCTGCAAATAGTTTTTGAGTTTGACATGCATCTCCACCCAATAATACTTGTGATTGTTGGTCTTCAAACTTTTTCAGTTGACTTGGACGTTCTTTGTTTTTCACATTGAAATCATCGGTTTTAAAGCATTTAAACCAGTGTTCATAAGTATCTTGAGATGGAGCATATTCACCATAAGCTTCCCAAAATATATGATAACTTTCAGCAGCACTTTTCTTCAAAATAAAGTAATGAATTAAAAAACTTCACGCAAATGCTCTTTTTTTTGGCATGAAATTCGACATTTATAAGAATATCTATGATGTCAACACCTTCAGAAAATTTGATATATGATGTTTTTGAAGCTTGTTGTCAATACTATGAAATAGCATACATATCAAATCGCATATATATAATCATATGTGTAACTCCATCTATTGAAAAAATCCGCATTATTAACCGGTACACCTAGTATCCATTTCAATGGTGTTTATAATAGAAAATACTTTTACATAAAGGTTAAAAGTAGACTATATAATGTATGGTTTAGTCACTTGACTTCCATAAACAATATGTCTCCAAGAAAATGACATAATATGGGGAAAATGTTCATGACATAAAGTGAAGTAAAAAATTTAGGATGTAATTATATAATTCCAACTATTTTAAAATCTGTTTATTAAAAAGAATTGGGAGAAAAGAAAATAGGTTTATGTCTGTTTAGATGGTAGGAGTTTTTTAAGGTGTATTTTTAAAAATTATTGCTTTGTTTTGTTATATTTTCCCAGTTTTAAATAATGGACATGAGCTGCTTTTATTACATATATATTATATATATATATTTAAGGTAAAGTAAATATTAGAGAAGTACAATTTCCCTAGCAATATTCCATGAGCAATTTTTCATAATATTTCTTATGAAATAACAAAAATCTTAATAACATGAAATATTGAATAATAGTTATTCTCAAGATAGCATTGTTAATTTTGTTGAGTTAGGCCATGATTTAATAAAATGTGAATTAGTGAAGTTCAGCTATTAATGTAGATGTTGAACAGTGAACTGAATCATAATGAATTCTCAGCACCCAGCAGCATTGTCAATAAAATGGTATTTATCTCTAGGAACTAAAGCAGCCCAATAATCATCCATGTATTAGATTTAGTTTGGGAACCTTGATGTCTTGCTAGAATGGAAATGATTGTTCGAGATATATACATTCCAAATTGCTTCAGAGAATGAACATCAGTTCCTATTGGGACCTCTGACATTTTACCAGCTGAATGAGTAAGGTTTATGATGAGAAAATAAAAGAAAATATATCAGCAGGGGAAACATGATAGTTTTTCCCAAAGTTAGAAATACTTTTACCTTTACATCCTCAAACACTGCTGCTAGGTTGTGTGTTTTTGTTCCTAAATCCAAGTGATAGAGAATGTCTTCATCCATAGAATCCAGGTAAGGATTTTCAACATGAACAAAACCTTTTCTGGGAAAAATAATATAAAAAAAAGATGTGAAGAAATTTAGAGAGAAAGCCTATGATAACCGCTAGCCCAAATATTGGACACAAACTTTCATTTAGGATTGAATGATTTGTCATGAAGCCAATATTATTATGCTACTATAAAAAAAACAGTAGCACCACCAATAATAATAATAATAATAATAATAATAATAATAATAATGGCTAATATTTTCTGTGCACACAGGCATAGCTTTAAGCATGAAAATTGCACACTGCCATAAAAACTACGTATAATTTTAATAAACATTCTATTAGGTGAGCAATACTAACAAATGCAATTTACAAGTGAAGGAGCCACGACTTGCAGAAGTTGAGAAACTTGAGCAAGATTTTACAACCAGTAGAATACAGAACCGTCTTTTCTACCCCGTTCTTGTCTGGCCCTCATGGTCCTTTTCCTTCTTTGCATGGGAGGCTGTGCAACATAGGCTCCTGGGATCTGTAGTCAGATTGCCTGGGCTCCACCACCAGTTCAACCATATATGTACTCATTGTGCAGCCTTGGGTAAGCTATTTTATCTTTGTTCTTTGAAAGTTTCCTCATCTGTAAAGTGGGGATAGTGAAAAAAATAACTGCTTTGCTAGATTGCTCTGAGGCCTATTTGAGCTGGGCTACTGTCCTTCCTCTCTCTCAGTAAAATAATGCAAGATGGTGAGCTGACTGCTGCTGTAGGAATGACCTTAATTCCATCTAATTCATATTTATAAGGCACATCATCTTCAGTCTTTGGTATTGCAGCAGTGATTACACACAACTGTAATCATTAGCGATAATCATTACCCCATACCACAGCGGGTCAAGCCGTCTCTGCCAAGAACTATCTGACTTCTTCGCTCTATGTTCCTTCCATTTCCCAGTAAATGTCTCTACACATTTTAACAAAACTCTTGTGTTTTTCTATATTTTCAATGACGTTTGCTCATTAAAAAATAGTTTAAAAACACTGGTGCCCAGGACCCACTGAATTTAGAGACTGAAAAATATTTTTGAAATCTTCTCAGGTGATCTGATGTGCAACCCAAGTTGAAAATCCCTTTTTAGGCCTTTGTTCCTGAAACATCTTTCTCCCTTCCCTCCATTGTTCACATGTGGGAATCCTACTCATTCCTCAAGGTCAAATTTAGATATCACCTCCCCCCGGAAGGCTTTCTCCGAGCATCTTCCCTCCCCAGTCACTATGAATTCCCACCCCACACTGTGCTCCTAACGCATGTATTTCACGTTAAGGCTGATAGATGGCACTTCAAGGGTTAATTTTCTGTCTCTCCAGGAAAATTGTGAATTTTCTCATGCAAGCTGTCTCATATATCTTTTTTTAATCCCCAAGTCTTAACAGATTTTATTTGTTAAATTAAATTTAAAGTTCGGGAAGTGGAACTATTAATTTTCCGCTCAAAAACATTTAGGGTAGCAAATTCTTAATTAGTTAGTGGATCATGGCTGGTTTAAAAAAATAAAGCATTCCATGAGGTTAGTACACTTTACTACTTCAGAACAAGCCTCAAAGCCCCCAAGGAAAGGACACCTCCTTTCCTCTCCTGGTGACAGGCAGGAGGACATGCACCAGTGATCCTTTGTTGGAAAAAGTGTGTCGATTCACCAGCAGCATTGCCATGGAGGCTTGTTAGAAATGCAAAATCTCAGGCCCCACGCAGGACCTCCTGAATCAAAATCTGCCTTATAAGCAACTCCTATGTGATTTCTGTGCACAGTAAAGTTTGAGAAACATGCCATCCACTTTCTCTTGCAGCTTCTCTTACTTTTCTGCTTGACTCGGCCAAACTGCTTTCCCTCTCTGATGCTTTTCCTTTGGATTCCCAGCTGACTCTATCCTTACCCTAGAAGAGAGTGCCATTCATCTACTTCAGTGATTTCAAATTCTAACTCCATATCAGGATCACATGGGTGCTTTAAAAAGCACTGGTACCTAACTAAGCCCAAACCTAAAAATTCTAATTTATATTGTCAAGAAGATATGGGCCTTGGTATTTTTTAAATCACTGATGTATTCCAGCTTTCCTATCTTCAAAAAGAAATTCTCAAACCACTAACTATATTCTCTTGTATTAATTATAATAGTCTTGCTTATTCATTAGGACTATTAATTATAATAATCCTGTTCATTATTTAGTTTTCCTTGGTGGTCTGTTCCAATAGCTAATGATCCCTTGGTCAGAGAATTGGGGGGGGGGCATGTCTATAGAAGGTTTGTATCCCTTTGGGCTCACCAGAAGCACTTCTAAGATGATCCCTCTATTACTTACCAAAGGAAAGATTACTTTGGCCATTATGCCAAATTCAACCCAGTATGATTCTGGCAATTGCAATATTTCAATCTTTCCAAAATATATAATTTTTACTAAATAGACTATATGTGCTATTTCTTCCTCAACCTTGTTTTGCATTTTCTTTCCTTTCTCTAAAATGTGGGCCAGAGGTGGTATTGGGAATACATTCTTTTAGCAAGCCACAAGATAGCATGGTCAGTATTGAACACTGGTAACCAGTGCTGGCTGAGAAGAAGTCTTTCTATTTTACCATCACCTTCATCTTCAGACTTTTTCCTTTTCTCTTTCCTTGGCATGCCTGAGAAAATGCACATGGTAGGAGACTACCTTTGTCTGGGATGGGTAAATGGAACATTTTCTGAAACAATGACATGATGGAGGCTCTAAGCAAGGCATCTGATACAACTCGGTGAACCAGAGGGAATACACAAACATTCCTTAAGCCTCCTAAAGATTAATGCTCAATTATGTTCTGTGAACCTGGGGCAAGAATTGGAGCTAAATTTGCAGACAGTTTTGGCAGATTTATGTCTACCCCTGAGATGAAGAACATACATGGAATTTTAGAAGTGAATTCTATGTAAAGTCTATCACAAAGCGTATGGAATCACTTCATAATATGCTGCAATGCAGTTAAACCTCCCTTAGGCACAGGGAGGCCCCTTTAATCATTTCTCAGATATTTCAGCCCATGGTCCTGGAATTAAAGGCTGAACTCCAGGCTGAACTTAGAATGTGTTCACTCATGCAGGTTGGTTAATCTTTTGCATGTTTTTTGGCTTTACTTTCTTTTCTTTTCTTTTTTTTAAAGAGTGAGAGGTATAATTGACATATTGCTCCACTTTCTTAGATGAGCCAGATTCACCCAAGAACCATGGAATGAAAATATCTTTGGGAAGACAATTTGCATTGTATTTATTTTGTTTTGTATTATGAGCTAGGTTCCAACTATATCATCTCTAAACTTAAGACATTTATGTAATGATAGAGGTTGATCTTCTGAACATTTAATATAAAATCCAAAGAACATCCATCTAATCAAAACAAATAAAACATCAAAATTACTTACCCAACATATGTATTCTGGTCAGATCTCATGGGTTTATTGGAAGCAGGTAAAATCGAAGCCATACTTTGTAGTGTGTGGATAGTCACACTTCAGTTGATGCCAGGGAAGAAATATATAGTCAGTTGCTATTAAATTATAGGTGAATCATAATAGCTCAGCTCCAAGTTAGAATGACAGCCTCCCTTATCAAACTTACATTTTCTTCTGAAATCAATAATGGAACTTTATTCCTAGCATAACTCCCTACCAATTCAAAAAATATCCTCTTTGACATGGCCTTTTATACTACAAAACAGCCCAGCTCTCACAACAGCTCTTCCCTAAGAAGATAGGCTCCCTTTGAAGGTGTGGCGTCCTAGCTCTCTGACTAGGTTGGTTAGCTTGGTCACTGTAGACAGGTGCACCTTTCCCTTCCTCTGGCCTTGATCCCAGCATGGGCCTGGTGTGGCACACGACATACTTACTTACTTACTTTGGGACAACTGTATGTGGATCCATGTCCTCCACTGGTTTCCACAGGAACTCTACCATGTTGTCTCAAAAACGTGGCCAGGACGCGGGAGAACTTTCAGTTCCCAAACATTTTGTTTTCTCACCCCATCCTACCCCTCATCAACTTGTTTTCATTCTATGTTCACAAGTGAGACAAACATGCAAAGTCATGCCCCCAGAGTGCCTCTTCATCTGAACTCTGCCCATTCAAATTCACACAGAAGGTCTGATAATTAAACAAATCTGCTTCCCAGGGCTTCATTAAGCTAAAAACCGCAGGCTGCCCGTGAAATCCAATGAAGCAGCTGTTGGAGGTCAATCCAAATAAAATAACAAAATAAGGCCTAATATTTTCAGAAAACAGAGTGTCTCTTTGAAGAAATCCACAAATTCACTGCTTTTCTCCTGCTTCTTACTGTACAATTTGGGGACAGACAAATCTAGAAGACTTTCAAGGAACTTCATCCTGTGTGTTTTTTTTCTTTTTATTCCCAGCTCCCATGGCAATCAGCTGAAGTTCTATGCTGGTGAGAGCTTTAAGGACATTTGTCTCATGGCTTGCAAGCAAACAAGCGCTTAAAATGTTCACAAACGCCCAAACAGCAGCAGATACAAGGCATTTCATAATGTGCTTGAATTTCTCTGTAAGAGTGTGCATCACAGTCAAGAAGCAAATGCACATCTTAACTGTGTTTGGAGATACTCCTCTTCCTGGTGATAGTCACTTTGGACAAACTCCTTGAATTCCATGTTGGCCTCCTTCAGTCCATCTTGGCCAACTAGCGAAGTTTACAAGAAGGAAAGAGAATAGGAAACTAATAGAGCACTCCAAATCTTGCTACTGCTACTACCAATTAGACATTTGTATCTTTACCTAAAGTTATCCAAAAATACCCAAGAAAACTAATCGTGGAAAAGGCAATGACAACTTGGAGGCAAAATAAGCCTGAACCTGTATGTTGCTTGTATAACTTGGGAGAGTAGGTACTGTTTCCAGTTTATGATAATAATACATCTTTTACCTCATGGCCCACCTCAAAGGGGTCTACCTGCTGCCCTTTCTCCACAACTACTGGCAATTTTGAGATTCAACATGCCCACCACCTACCACGGGGGCTTCTTACATTTTTTAATCCTCACCTGAAGATACATTTATTGATATGAGTGAGAGAGAAACATTGATGTGAGAGAGAAGCATCAATTGGTTGCTCCCAAACACTCTGACCAGGAATTGAACCCACAACTTTTTGGTGCGTGGGACAATGCTCCATTCAACTGAGCAACACTGGCTAGGGTAGGAGGCTTCACACTTCTTTTGGTATCCCATGCTGTACCTCAAAAAAATTTTTAGGGTATAATGACCAAATTCCAGTCTGGCACTTACCTCTGGCTCTAACAGGTGAAAGTGTTAGCTAATTAGGTAAGTGTTAAATCATTAATTACTCCAGGGAATTATTTAGATTAATTAACATGTCTATTTCCAATGCAAATTCTGTCAGTCAATGATCTTGATCACCAACAGTGCCAGGGACACCAGCAACGTTTTATGGATCCCATATAACGACTCCTGAGGATATTAAGGCAAGTGTCATCATTTGGGTGAAATGAAGAATAGTCTTGCAGAATCTATGCAAGTAGAGTACTGATGAATGTCCTCTGGGTAATCTGAAATTATTTTCCCTAGTTTTCAATCCTTTCATGACTCCATCCTACTCTTATGGTAGGTTGTTGCTCAACAATTTTTTTTTATGGACTATATTGCAAAAGTTCAGTCACCTGAATGATAATGGAGAGAGCATGTAGCACAGAAATGCACAAAGGAAACTCACGCCCAGCCTGTGGGAGACATGGGCTTCTGGAAGGAAGGGATGCCTGGGCCGCCTCTTGAGGAAAATGTAATCCTGAAAAATATTGCTGAGGGTAGGGGTGGTTGAATATGAGAGGCCTGTGCTCCTGGCCCAGGGAACTGTGTGTAAAATGCATAGAGGTGACAGAAAAGTGTCACATTTAGAGAACTATTAGTAGCTCTATGTGGTTTTACTTCCACATATTGGCACCAGAACATCTCAGTCAGGGCTGTAGTGGCCTTCAGTTTTTGAGATTTCTGCTATATTAGGCAATAAAGAAAGGCCAACACAGGGTTACACTAGTTACAATACACGCTGAGTCCTTGTGGTCTGTTTTGAGGTAAATGGAGACTCCGTATAAGAGATGTCCTACTTACCACACAGTAAGTGAGTATTAAGCACCTGCTATGAACTAAGTTTGTTCGTGTTCAAAGTGGCATAATAATATAGGAGAATGGTCCTTGTTCTCAGGGTCATATTTCTGGCAGCTTTCAAATGAAAAGGATTTAACTTACAACTGCCCTGGCTGCTCTGGTGGCCTTTCTTACTGGGATTACAGTCCCCACAGTGTGGCAAAGCTGGCATGCCCTGTTCCCCAGGGGCTGGCCGCAACCAACGCCGGTGCCTCAGTGAGTCAACAGGCCCCTCGGAGAAGTTGGCGGAGGGCATCTGTTCCCCGGGTGGTTTGGCCCCTTAAGACTGAAAACACTTGGCTTCTGAGGATGTTTGACTTCAATTTTAAGATGTTTCTGTTCTTGATGATGTTGGAGAAAAGGAAATGGGAGGCACAGGAGATCAAACAGAGATTCAAGAAAAGCCTTTTTTTAAAAGTGAACCATGATATTTGGAATCAATAGCACTAAGAAATAAAATTTAAAAGCTCTTCTCTAAGTTCAAAATAATAATTATTTTGAACTTGGAATAGAAACCTCAAGGACAAGAAAGAATGCCAGTGGCAACAGTGATCCACTCGGCATTGCACTGGGCCAGACTCTGGACGATCTCGTCCGCAACAGCCCTGTGAGGTAGTTTTTGTTATTTTCTCCATCTTCAGCAGCGGACATTAGAAAACAGAGAGGTGAAATGAGGTGCCTGAGATCCTACAATGAGTTAGCCCAAACCAGAATTCAGACCTAATTCTGTCCAGCTACAAAGCCATGGGAACTTTTTCTATTCTACCACTGTCTCTCTTTTAATTTTATTTTTAAAATTTTTCATTTATTTTTAGAGAGAGGGAGAGAGAAAAAGGGGGGCTGATGAGAGAGAGAAACATTGATTTGTTGTTCCACTGATTTATGCATTCATTGGTTGATTCTTGTATGTGCCCTGACCCGGGATCAAATCTGCATCCCTGGCATATTAGGATGATGCTCTAAGCATCAGAGTTCCCAGGCTAGGGCTCACCACTCTTTTTGGGATTCTTTAAAGAAGACAATAGTCCAAGGAGAATGGCATCAACAAGAGAAGGAAATTCGATCTGGGTCTTAAAGGTGAAGTTTGACTGGGATGTGAGGAGTGTCTCTGTAACACCTCACTCTGCGGGTCCGAAGGGTTGTTGACTTCATTCATTTCTGGAAAAGGGGTGCATAACTCAGCCATAGTGGGGGTGTTATTTGGATGCTACTGAAGAAAACAGCCCCTATGTTGATTATAAAATCATCTCATTGCCAAAATTTAAATTAATCTTTAAACTGTCCCGTCAACATGCTTAAATGTACAGTGTAGCTCATCTCAAGCTTACCACTTCCCTATGGTTTTACCCAAAAAGCTGGATCCGATTCAACACCCTGCCTGCAGCAAGTGCTGTCTGCTCCTGAGCGGCCCCTGCAAAGGGGATTAAAGGCACTGGCCTGCGAGTCTGCTGACTGCCCGTGGGTTGCCCATCCCAGTAACGTCCTGCACTAGAGACCCGGTAACGTCCTGCCCTGGAGATTAAAACCTGTGTTTGTCTTTTTAGCACCAGATGAAGGAGCCCCAACCGGAACGTGAAATACCCTGGGAAATCAGTTGGAAAGAAGCACTGAGGGTTTGACAAACCTCACCCTGAAATGAGAGGAAGGCCTGTTTTTCTTGGAACTAAGGAAGGTTCATTCCTAACCTCTAACAGCAACAAAAAAATGAGGTTATTACTGCTGCTGCCGAGAGGGTTCAGATGGGAAAATAATGCTAATCCATCGTGGAGGTGGTGAGTTCCAAGCCCAGAAAGTCACGACATTTCAAAGCTGACTGATTCTAATTTGGGTTTGGCTGAGTGACAGATAACAATGTGCTTTATGATACGCTCCTAACATTACTCGCTGCAATACTTGGAGTTAAACATTAATTTTTTCTAAAGAAGTAGAAAACCTTGAGTACATAACCACGGTCACATCCACATTTCTGTTAATGCCTCACTTCAGGAATGTCATGACTCTTCGGAAGTGTGACTCCTTTGAACACTTCACCTGGGATTCGCATTTCATTTTTGATTGTGATCAAGGTTGGTATTTCTGAGAGTATTTTATGTTAGTATTCGGTAAATTTTAACTGTAAAATAGTTCAAACATATAGAAATGTGAAGCTGTAACAGATACCTGTGTAGTTGCCACACAAATTTAACAGTTGCTAACTTTTTGCCATATTTAACACAGACGTTTTTAAAAAATCCATTAAAGCCCTACCCACCTTTTTAAAAATTTTTAAATATATTTTTATTAATTTTAGAGAGGATGGGAGAAAGAGAGAGAGATAGAAATATCAATGAT